TAATTAGTTTCCTTTTAAGTTGTCATAAAAATCTAAAAAAAAAAAAAAAAGATCTTGCCTTAGATATCCTGACAGTAACACAATGTACATGATGCTCAGTTTTTGGGTGCTAAACAACTGAAGAAATAAGCAAAAATATTTCATTTTAGTATTAGGTCTACAGAAATAATTTCCAGTATCTTGGAACACAAAGTATTTACCTGAGTGAGTTGTTCTCCTAAAGGAACCATGCGCCTTTACTTAGGCTCAAGGATCTCAGTTGCCAAAAGAGAAAGTGTCTTAATTATAGCATGTATTAATGAAGCTGCCTTATGGAATTAGAGATTAACTTGAAGAATAAAAATGTAAGGTTCCAAAGTTTGTTGTGTCGGAAGGGGGGAGGTAACAACAAAGAGAGCTTGTGGAAACATTCTGAAAATATATTTTGTGTGCCTTCCCATGCAAGGCATAGATGGCCCTTTACTTCAGTGAGCTTTGCTTACTTCCTTACAGAGAAGTGGGTCACTGACTATAGACACTGTGAGGAAAAGTTATAAATGTACATCAACATTCTTGGCTCCGTACTCCACCAAAGGAGAGCCCAGCAGTTGGGGAAAGCTGTCCTTTGAAGTAGGCCTTATAGAAGAGGGGAGGCTTCAATAAGAAAAATCAAGATTGCGTAACCAGAACAGTCCATGAAAGCAAAGGTACAGAGACATGGGAATACTTTTCAGGGAGAAGTCGTAGATGAGGCTGGCAAGGCAGTGGACTCTTGCTTCGTAACTTCAGTTCCATCCCCATAGCATAAAAAGCCTCACGCAGTGAAAGAAGTGTCCAAGAATGATGGCCATACTCGCAATTGTTATGTGGTGAAGTCTAGCAAATCCAAGATTCCCTTCTCTTGGCTGCTTCTCAGAAACATCTCCAGGTCTATTACAGTGACAGATGACAAACTGCTTGGACACTTCCTGATGGTTTCTTTTGTGTAAAACTTTATTCTCCATCTAGACAGTGAAGTGATCTGCACAAGGCTTGTTTTCTAATTCTTTTGTGCCTTTCTCAATTCCTGAAACAGTGTGAAGCACATAGTAACTATTTAATCAGAATTTTTAAGTGATTTGAACAAAAGGCAAAACACATTCCTTAAGGTAGTGCTGGGTCAGCTACCTAAAGGCTCTCTGATTATGGAATATTTTCTCTTCTTCATCTCATCTTTTACTTTAAATATGTCTGTTCACAGGTTTTCTTTACTTACATAATTTTCCTCTGGAAAAGCAAACTTCCATCATCTTCAACTCATGGCTGCAGGCACTTAGATGTCCCACTTTTCACTCCAAAGGGGAACAAGATTTAGCAGGAGAAAGCGATGAATTAGAACGACGTCTGTATACATCTCCCTGGTGCTTGTTTTTAGGACTTAATGTTCTGTTGCTTACATTTAAGATTGCCTTCGTATCTCTTTTCACGTCTTTGGCTTTCCCTCCTTCTCTTTCCTTTATTATTTTGTTTTATTGTCTTCTCATTTCCTTCAGAGAATTTACTGATTGGTTTAAGTAGCAGTTTTACCCGCAACTCTTCAGATTTCTAACATTTTGAATTTCAGTCTTTCCCCTGATTTGGTTAAGAAACATTTTTTCCCACCCTTATAATGTTTCCTTCACCCACCCTCCCCCATCAGTAATTATTTATTGTTTAGAATACATCTTGTTTAAAACCCTCTGCACAAGGGAACATAAGCTACAGCATGGTCTATTTATTTCCTTGTGAAAACAATTTATTAGGCCTGGTGGACCCAATATCCTGGAGTGGTGGAGGAGAAAAATAAATTCTTGCCTCATATTTCCTCACCTAAATAATAGAATGCAAAGTTGTAATTTTAAGGCATCAGCTGTATGTGTAGTTTAATGTTAAGTAAGAAACCATAGCAATTTAGGCTCTTTGTTGTTCGCATTTGAAGGGGGAGGAGGACACTTGTTAGCTTGAAAAACATGCTGAAAAATCAACGAGGAAAATGGAATGGAACACAGCCTCTCCCAGTCTAGGAACACTTCTGGCTTTGACAATAACTGGACGTCCAGCTTGAGCTTCAAGCCTCCATCTTCGAAGCTATTGCCGTCTCAGGTGGCCCTGCCTAATTGTCTTCCTAGTCCCATTACTAACCACCGTGAAAATCCACCTTTTCTAACAGATACACTTGCATTTTAATTTATCTGCAAAAATAAATCACATATTATAGCGTTCGTTTCTTCTGGGTTAATTGAATCAGTTCCTTAAATGTCTCTAAGTCTAATGATTTGAAAGGGGCATGTTGCTTGAAATATTAAAAAAATTAGGGCCCTTGGGTTGTATACAGAATGATCTCAGTGCTTATTTCAGATATAAGTGTTTCCTAATGATCTCATTCATCTCAGGCGGGATATGCCCAGTTACTTTACTAGAAATGTTTCCTGAGAACTCTAACAGGAGAGCTTAATGCAAGGTATATTTATAGAGAAATGGTATTTAATTTATTAGCTGAAGATTATAAAGAGCTTTGAATATTTTTATCCAGAAATGCTTAATTAAGCATTTTAGACCCATCATGAAAACTGCTATTCACTTGTATGTTTAATGTGAATCTTAATTTTTTTATTTGGGATTTAAATGCCTTTTTAATTATACTTTTTCTTTCAACATCTAGAAGGAAAGAGGCTGAGATTGTGGCATTTATTAGTCATAAAAATTCTCTACATATTAAGTCCCTCATACCTTCATGAGGCCTCTGGTCACTATATTCTATGAAAAGGGGTATTTTTAGTTGTAGGGGGTAAAATTCCTAAATTGTTTGACTCTTAAAAATTACGGTTTGCTACAAGACACAATTCTTACTTAAAAATACAGCCTCCAACTTCCGGGAACCTCTGGAGTTTAGAACAGAATCTCCATCATTTTTGTTGTAAAGTCCATTTCATTTCATATATGTTTTAATAGCTTCAATTTAGGTGCAGAGATGAGCTCGGTACCTTATCAATAACCACACTTAAAGAGTCATAGGGGAAATTTAAATTGCCAGCTCTGCAGCTTTTTCTGAATGGACTGAGGGAAAGACATCAGCTCCCTCTGCAGTTCATGGTATGCATGTGCAAGTAAATACTGTCATTTAAAAGCAATAGCTTGGGCTTGTATCTGACACCCCATGAGAAATCTCTGGAGCTGTTACAGTTTTCGTTTGAAGAAAAAAAAAAAAAAAACCTCAGAACACGGGCAAATTTGAGACTAGCGTTAGTTTAAGAGAGGAGCTTTCATTCAAAGGCCTTTTGACTTTTGGGAAAAGAGTAACGTGTTCACTGGGCAAATTTAGAATAGAAAGCGAAAAACTCAGACCTTACGTTCCCACTCATGTAGGAAGGAGCTAAGGACTTAAAGTATCCCACAGGAAGTCAAATAGGTGTGTCTCAGATTAGAAGAAACTATTTTTATCATGGTAAGTGAGCAAGAATAATTAATGGGCAAGCTGCAGAATTTTCTTTTTCTCATCCAGAGAAAGTAAGTGCTTGGCATGGTATTAAATTTGATGCTTTGTTTTCCTCATGTTAATTAGTTTGCATTTTTCTTTTTTAAAATCCTCCCACCCAGATCTCTTAACTGTTATACCTACTTAGGACTCTCCCACTCTTAAACAGAGGCTTCTGCTAACTCCTCTGCCCTTATGCTGTCATTCACCTAGAGGAACACGGCTTGTACAATTCTCATATGAGCTGTGATATTATCTGGAATGGGATTCTTACTC